GTAAAAACCTCACTTCTCACTGCAAGATGCATCCGAAGAAGTGAGGTTTTTACTCACGAAAGCTTATGCCCAAATAAATCTGTTAGTCTTTAAGGTGCCACCAGACTCCTTGTTGTTTTTGTAGTCTCTACAATGGTGGAGAGAATGGGGGCCCTGGAATGGAGCGAGGGGTAAGTGGAGGTACACAGAACCCCTAGTTGTATGGAAATTGGAGGAACCTGGCATGGGGGGAATGGAGGATACACAAAGACCCCTGGCATGGGGGAATAGAGGGAACACAGAGTCCCTGCCATGGGGAGGTAGGAATGGGGGTGTGAACAGAGCCGTTGGTGTGGGAAGAAATGTGGTGAACTTGGTATGGGAGGAATAAGGGTACAGAAATTCTTCGGTAAGGTATGAGATTGGGGAAATTTTAGGGAGTCCTTAAAAAGAGTGGGATGGGAAGGGGAACATAGGGAGCTTATGGGAGGGGATTGAGGGTGCTAGGAGCCTCTGGGGTGGGCAATAAACTCGACCTGTACAAACTACAAAGAGTGCTCCCCTCACTGCTCTGAAGAATATGGACATCTGTTGACAAAAAGGCTGTTTGCAAAGGAACTATCAATTTTCTTTCGTGACCACTTGTTTTAAAAAATGAGTAATTAAGAGGTTAATCAGGGTAGACGGGGATTGACAAGTAGGCAGGATGTCTTTTCAGGAGAAACGGCCGGCGTTTAGCTAGAGAAGTGCTATCGAAAGGGATTGCTAGGAGGACGAGTTTTACAATGTTTTCTTCTATGCGCGAAGCGAATAGGCGGGATTGCTTTAATGCAGCTGCTGTCTGTCGCTGATGCCCGTTGCTTCTTCCCGCTGGAGAAGGGGGAGGGAGACAGCATAGACTGGGTGGTTTGTCTGTATTAACTGACTGAATGAAAAAGCTTTAAAATATTACTTTAAAATTATGCTTTGGGAAGTTTATAATAGCTGGTTTTGTTTCTAAATCTATATAATACTTATTTTTTCTATGCGTTGTTGTGAGGGGTTTGTTCACCCACCCCTTTTTTTCATGGTGTGGGATTTTGAAAGCCAGTTTAGAAGAAATTAGTGGGAATTGAGTGTCCAAATCACTTGGATGGTTTTGAAAATTCTCCCAAAGGCAGCTTTAAGCCTTTGCCTTTTTCCATTTTTCAGGAGAAAGAGACAGCAGTTAAATACCTGTCATACCTCTACAGATTAATTCTTACATAGTACTCTCTAGGGAGGCAAATGTATACAGTACTTGCCTCCGATGTCAGCTCTCTCTAGGTTTGATTTAAGAATATTTGGATAGGTTTGCTAACAGTTATTGACATTTATATTGCTATAAATGATGTGTGCTGCTGTTTCAAGGGGGAAAATAGTGGCGATATACTTGCAAAACTAAAGACTTGCTTTTGCTGTCTTCTGGATACACCGTCCACGACGTTGAGAAACTGTGCTGAGAGGAGCAATTGAACCAAATCCCGCTGCTCTGCCTTCGCCTTGCACCAGTACAGTGTAGCGGCGCCCTTTCTAATCTGCCGGGGGGCTGCTCCTCCTGGCTCCTCCCAGGCCCCGCCCCCACTCAACCCTTTCCCTTTCCCCAGTGCCCCACTCCCGCCCCTCCTGACGCTGATCCGTGGCAGGCAGTAGGCGCTGGGAGGGAGGGGGAGGCGCTGATTGGCGGGACCCGTCAGCGGGCAGGAGGGGCTGGAGGAGGGAGAGAAGTTGAAGGGCGGGGGCTGCTGGTGGGTGCTAATTACCCATTATTTTTTTTCGTGGATCCTCCAGTCTCGAAGCACCCAGAGTCGGCGCCTGCCACCGGTAATGTGAAACTTGAAGTCTTTAGGGGACTCGAACTCCAGAGAAACAGCTGCAGACCATGGTAGATAGATCTCTGTCTGCGTCGGGCTCTGCCTGACAGACATGTTCGCTGTAACGTCACATGGTAGAGAAGAGCCTGTGAGAGGTATCGCAGTTTCAGGAAGTAAGAGCAAGAGGGTTTGATTGGTTGCTGGGAGCTCCACATGCTAATCAGGAGGTGTGTTTCTGTAAATAGCGACATAAAAATCTTGTAATGTACGGTGTTCTAAAGCTGGCTGAATTGTGCTTTAATAAAATGGACACCTGGTTTTCGATTTTTGTCCTTTAGTTCGTTGAGGGCGAAACCTGTTGTATGAAAATATTCACCGTGGCAAGAAAGCTTGTGCACGTTAGCCTGGGTGTGTAGCCGAGGAGGATTTTGTTAAGACTATACTTTCAGGGATCATTTCTATAGTTTGTAACTAGAGAAGTGTAGCCGAAAGTGTCTGACCTTGCTAACCACGAGGAGGAGTGAAAGTGTTCTCTTCTGAGCGCGAAGCGAGCAGACAGTGTTGCTTTAATGCAGCTGCTGTCTGTTATTGATGACCGTTCCTTCTTTCCTTTTGGGAAGTGGAGAGGGAGAGAACACAGACTGAGTGGTTAGTCCTTATAAAACAGGTTTAAAAATAGGTTTTTGTAAGTTTTTCTGTTATGTGCATTTTTTTTATAGTTTTGGTTGGTGGTATGTTTAATGGTAAATCTTAATTTTATTATGGTTTTTTTTTGGTAGGGTTTGAAAGTGAAGTAAATGTAGTGTGAAAGGTTTCTTATTCAGTAGTATTCTAAAATTCCTTTATGCTGCTATAACAACAAGGAGTCTGGTGGCACCTTAAAGACTAATAGATTTATTTGGGCATAAGCTTTTGTGGGTAAAAACCTCACTTCTTTGGGTGCATAGAGTGAAAGTTACAGATGCAGGCATTATATACTGACACATAGAGAGCAGGGAGTTACTTCACAAGTAGAGAACCACTGTCGACAGGGCTAATTCAATCAGGGTGGATGTAGTCCACTCCCAATAATGAGGAGGTGTCAATTCCAGGAGAGGAAAAGCTGCTTCTGTAATGAGCCAGAACTGGAGGCTCTCATACAATACCAGCCTTCCACACAAACTTCCATGTGGCTGGACTTTTCAAAAATGAGACAAGCCGTTTACAATGCACACTTCACTTCTCTACAGAGGAAAATGGACAGTAAGCTATCTAAACTCCTACCTGCCACAGGGGGCTACAACAGTGGTACCCTCAACTCATGTAACAACATTGTCAATCTTTCCAACCACACACTTAGACCAGCAGAAGAGTCTGTCCTATCTCGGGGACTCTCTTTCTGTCCCACCATCCCCACGAACACGATACAGTTCTGCAGTGATCTGGAAGCCTACTTTCGTCGTCTCTGACTCAAGGAATATTTTCAACACACCACTGAACAGTGCACTGACCCACAGGAACCCTCCTACCAACACTACAAGAAGAAGAACTCTGCATGGATTCCTCCTGACGGTCGAAATGACAGACTGGACCTCTACATAGAGTGCTTCCGCAGACGTGCACAGGCTGAAATTGTGGACAAACAATATCACTTGTCCCATAACCTCAGCCGTACAGAATGCAATGCCATCCACAGCCTCAGAAACAACTCTGACATTATCATCAAAGGGGTTGACAAAGGAGGTGCTGTAGTCATAATGAACAGGTCGGATTATGAACAGGAGGCTGCCAGGCAACCCTCCAAGACCACATTCTACAGGCCACTATCCTCTGATCCCACTGAGGAATACCAAAAGAAACTACAACATCTGCTCAAGACATTTCCAGCAACAGTACGGGAACAAATCTACATGGACACACCACCAGAACCCCGACCAGGGGTATTCTATCTGCTACCCAAGATCCATAAACCCGGAAACCCTGGACGCCCCATCATCTCAGGCATTGGCACTCTTACAGCAGGATTAACTGGCTATTTGGACTCTCTCCTCACACCCTACGCTACCAGCACTCCCAGCTATCTTCGAGACACCACC